CTGACATTTAGTGTTCTCTTTGCATTTAATCGCAAAGCACAGTACCAACGGTAATATTTTAGGCATCAGTCTTTCAAGTGACTTGGTGAAAACAGACTCCAGCACTCACCTGGAACTCCTCTGTTTCACTGCAATGTGTGGGCACAAGGGATCTGCTCAGTCAGACTTCTTTGCAGGATTGGGTTATTTAGTTTCACAGCAGCTTTCTGAAGCAGGTTTTATTTTACATTTTGAGAAACAGGCATAGAGAGACTATATGGCTTACCCTGTGTCACTCAGCAATCAGTGACTGAGCCTGGAATAATCATCTTTTTTTCTGACCCTCAGCCCAGTGTTTTAGCCTCTAAACCATGCTTACTATTAAGATTAATATCAAATATAAACTATACCAGAGTCAAATCCCCGACAAAAACGGGTAGTTATCCCTTCACAGACAAGAATGAAATCCTTACTGGTATTACATATGTCCAGGTGCATCATTCCTTATCTCTTTGGACAACTACTCATTTTCTACAATCCTGAACAATTATTCACTTCAGTCCACCTCACCGTTGAAATATGATGTCAGAGCTGCAAGCTGCACAGAATTCTCATACTCTCAGGAGTGAAGAAAAAACATTTCTTCCTATTTTCTCTCTCCCTCTCTTTTCTTTGCATTTTGCTATATTTTATGTAATAGGAACAGTATTCAGGATGTAGGCGTCTACTTTGTTTTGATGTTTAGCCATCTTTAAAAGCAGTTTACTGATTCATATACTCCATCTTCATGAACATTATCCCTTACATAACCCACCATCATGACGTAGTATTTACCTCTATAAGGGAGTATTATTAGCTCCTTTACGTCTGTTTCAGGTTTTGTGTGTGTGTGTGGAGACATGTATTTTTTTCCACAGATTCAAAGAAAGATTGTAAAGGTTGTATAAGATCAAAGTATCCAGCATTTTTATTATCAGCTGTCATTCCCAGTGATGCACTGTGGGCTAGCTGGAAATTTGATCTTTATTGATTTTGCCACCGCAGAGAATAAAGAAAATGGGTAAAAAACAAAAATAGTAATTGGAAATAGCTCCTGTGTAGCAGAGCTGTCATGAAGCAGATTGATTCAGTGGTGGCAGAATAGCTTTATTGATTGTGAGTCCTTAGTGAATTAAAAAGAGGACCAAATGACTTAATCTTTCCTTTTTGTGTGTTTGACTGTAACAATTGAATGTTCTGATAGGATAAAGACGCACATTGCAGTGTGAGAATGTTTTATCTACTTCAGTCAGCAATAGTTTCTGCAGGGTTAAATGTTCTTTACTGTATTATAGTCTAAGAGTGGCAAAAATTCTATTTAGGTTTTTAAGTATTCAAGGTATGATGATTCTTGGAGGAAAAAAGAAGCATTAACATAGAAATTGCAGTGACGCCCCTCAGATGTTCAGTGTGTGTTCCTAAATTTTGACTCTGTCTAACCTTCAGATTTGTTGCTGAGACAATAAAGTCAAATTTTTGTTTGCTCTAGGTGCAACAATTTTCTTGTTAATAAATAAACATTTAGAGGGGTTTTCCTCTGAGGCTCTCTGTTTTCACAGACAGTAACTGTCTGTGCCTCCCAATGTGCTTTTGGAGTAAATGAATATCCTACCTGTTGTACAGGTGAGTAAACTGAGGTACAGCGGACCAGATTCCCATTTATCCTAAGGCCATTTTACAGTGCTGTGACCATAAGGATCAGACCTAGAGAGATTAAGTAATATTCCCAGTGCCCCCAAAGAAGCCAGCATCTTGACTTTTGGTCCCCGGTTCTCACCCAGAGACAACTCCTACCCTTACTGTCGGTATGTACAATTTACTACAATTGTTTCTTGCCAAGTAAATTAATCCTTTATCAGTGATTCCTGAAATGTGACAGATGAGTCTATTCTGGAATGGGCACTAGGGATGTTAGCAACTAGTCGACTATCTTATAAGCAAATGCTTTTCCGATAGTTGAGTACCCACGCGACTAGTCGGATCCCCCTCCCCATGCTGCGTCTATCAGAGAGAGGCAGCAAGGTGGGGAGGAGCAGGAGCCAGTGCTGGGGGGAACCGTCTCTGTGTGGGGCAGGGGAAGTAGCGGAATAACGGGGAAATAGCACAAATGGGGACTACTTCAGTCCCCACTGGCACTAGTTCCTAATGCCAGTGCTTCTGCTTTTGAAATGTACAAGAGCCCTCGAGGGTCCCCCCGTACTCTCTGCGGCTCCCTCCACTTGCTGCCTCAGAGGTAGCAAGGGTGGGGATAGGAGCCGGTGCTAAGGGGAACCGGCTTAAAAGCCGGTTCTCCCTAGCACTATCTCTGGGGATGCCACTTGCCCTCCCCCTCTCCCCTGACCGCCTCTATCAGTGGGGGGGAGGGGATAAGGGATGCTGCTGGGCCCCCCTCAGACAGGGGCCTCTATCAGCGATGGGGTGGAGGGAGGACACTGCTGGGCCCCCTGCGGACAGGGGCTGTTGCCACCAAGCAGCCCCTGTTTGAGGCAGCCATAAACGGGCTGCTCCATGGCCAGTCCTGGCTGCCGCGAACAGGGGCTGGTTCAGTACCAGTCCCTGTTTGTGGCCGATGTGCTGCTGGACTCACCATGAGCCAGGACCAAGCAGTCCCGGCTCGCGCTGATGGCTGCACCTCTGCCTTTTAAATGTAGCAAGAGCCCAGCGACTCTCTTACTACATTTAAAATGCAGAGCAGCAGTGTAGGTGGCTCCAGAGCCAGATAATCGCATTTAATGGGCTCTGGCTTTTCAATAAGGGTGAAATTCAGTCAGATGAGGAGAGCCTGCACAAAGCTTCCAAGCTATTTTAGTCCCATATTTTTCCCTTCACAGAGAAGGGAGTGAGCAGAAATAGAGCAGCCATACAGGGGCCTTAGTACCAGGCCTAAATAAACTGATGAACACAGAGTACAGGAAGAGGGGGCTACTGGATCCACACTTTATGCTTTTCCCATAGCCCGGTATCCTTATATGAGAGGCATTGAGGAACCAAAGCCACTATTCCAGTCTGTGGCTACTATTTCCGTTATAGCAGGGCTGCACTGCAATTCTCTGTCCTATGTGTGGCTTTGGAGGCAGATTCTGCCCCATCCCTATAGTGTTCACAAGGCCTAATGACTTGAACTCTGAACAAGAGCAAATGTCACCTCAGCCCATCTCTCTGTCACCTCCTCCTGGGTGACTATCATCTTACTCTTAACATGATCCAGTAGAACTGGTAATCTTCTGTCAAAACCTTGCCCCTTTCCTTCTGTCACCCTTATACATTGCCATCCTCCTGGTTACCCAGGCCTGAAAACTGAGTGCTACCCTTTGCCTTGTCTAGTTTCTGCTGCTCTCTGAGGGCTGGAGTACACACAGACTTGCACCGAAACAACTGAATGAATTTAGTTCATGCCTTTTTATTCGTTTGGTGCACACCTGCATATGGGCTGAAATGTTGATTTTACTCCTGTCAATGAAAACAGTAACAACAAAGAAGTGAATTAAAACTGATTTCAGTGCAAGTTTGCTTGTAGACCAGTCCTAAAATGCAGCTTTTGCTCATTGTGCTGGCAGCTAAACCTTTCTCATCCAGGTCTTCATGCTCTCATGCCCTGATGACCTACTCCTCTCCTCCCTAAAATTCCCATGCCCCATCCAGTTAGCTCAAAACACAGCTGCCAAGATCATCTTCCTTCTCTTGTCTTTCTCAGGGTGTCATTTCAGGCATTTCATTCTGCCCTGCCTCCAGCCTTTTTCATTGCAGCAAGTTCAAGATTCTTATGCCACCATTTTATATTTTGGTGAGGCGGGGACTGACCTGTGCATATTGTGATGTGATGGGGGGCAGACTGAGGACAGCAGCTTCAGCAGGTTTACTGAGCATGCTCAGTACAAGCCAAGCAGCAAATTGTGGAAGGACCGACCCCATTCGCCCTTCCCCTCATACACATTACCTCTTTCTAGGGGCTACTATGGCACTGGAAAACTAGTGTTTTTGGGAAGGCAAATAACTTAGCAAATAACCACAAATTTAGTATGCAGTTTCCTTTTATCATAACTTAAAACAAGGGCAGGGTTTGGTTGTGCCAGGACAATGGGATATGCATGGAATGCGATTTGTTTTTCATCAAATGGATAGGGAAAGGTGTGATAGCAGTGGCAATAATACTCACAAATAACCACAGGGGAGCAGCAAGCTCTCCAGCTCTGGGGAGCAGCTGCTGGCCGGCAGCACAGCCTCTGCCACTCTGGCCTCCCCATGGAATAGTTGCCAGTTGGCGAGTGCCACCTTGAGCCACTCGTGGGAAGCAGCTGACCCCACCTCCCTGACTCCGTTATGGCTAGTATTGAAACCCACCATCTCCCGGCAAAGAGTTCCACAGGTTGACCATGAAGAAATAATTTGTTTTGTTTTAAATCTCCTGTCATTGGGTGACCATCTTGTGTAATGTTAGTGAAGAAATAAAAAACATTTCCTGATTCTGTTTTTCCACACTATTCATGATTTTCTAGACCTGTGGACATGGGAGACATGCATTCAATTCCCTACTCTGCCACAGACTTTTTGTGTCCCTTTGGCAAGTCACTTAATGTTTTTTTGCCTCCATTTCCCTTCTGGGACAATGATGCTTCGTTACCTCACATAGGTGTTATAAGGATAAATATATTAAAGACTGTGAGATGCTCAGATGCTGCAGTGAAGAGGACATAAAATACCTCACATGTATAGAATTTATTTGTAAAGTGTTTTTGGTCTTTAACCCCCAAAAAATTCTCATGAGTTTTGGGCCAGGTCTCAGACTTTTAAATGCTTGAGGTTAGCAGTAATGAAGAGATTTGGGGAGACCTGGAGGCCCTTACTTCTCAGAGAAAGAAGGGGTTGTTTCATGGATGTTGGCCAGTTAATGCTGGCTGAAGATCTGACCTGGCATACTTTGTCTGCTCAGTGCCATGCCCTTACATGGGGCTGCATAAGGAGGATTTTGTCTTTGTTTTTAGGTTGTGATGGATTTTAAGCACCCGGATAGCCGTACAGTGGCGGTTATGCTGCCTCGACGGAGTTTGCTGGTGATGACTGGAGAATCCAGGTATCTGTGGACTCATGGGTATGTATGGAAACCCCTATGTTAACTGCATTACTTGCATAAAATGGGAGATGGCCAGGATTTTGCCCCCACTTCATGTATTGTATTTAAATCTGTTCAGAAGGAAATTAACTTGAATTAAATATATAGGCCATGATTCTCCTCTCTAAGGTGTGCTCAGATGAATTTAAAAACAGAGGTAGAAATGTAGCCGTGTTGGTCTGGTGTAGCTGAAACAAAATACAGGACTATGTAGCACTTTAAAGACTAACCAGATGGTTTATTAGATGATGAGCTGAGGAAGTGGGTCTGGCCCACGAAAGCTCATCATCTAATAAACCATCTGGTTAGTCTTTAAAGTACTACATAGTCCTGTATTTTGTTTTAAATATTCAAAATTCATCCCTGATTCAGGGATGGCTGGCCCAAGCACAAGTTAGGGCTACAGAGGGTAGCTGGCATAAGCTCAGGGACTTTATGCATCAGCTGAAGATCTGGACAACAAATGCCTTTCAAAAAATATATGTGCACCCTTTTGAAGATGAGGGGAAAATGCATTTTTAGGAAAGGTGGATAAAGTACATCAAAAGCCTGGACCAAGCATTTGTGGGTCAGATCCTCAGCTGATGCAAACTGGCATAACTCCACTGATTTCAGTATATGTTTAGGAGGCAAAATGCCCACTTCATATGTTTTTCAAGTTGTGTCTGTTCTCCTTAGTTTCTTTGCTCTTAAATGCCAGTTGTTGCAATCAACAGAGCAATGTGCACCATTTGCACCAGATGGGGATCTGTCCCTCTGTGTCTAAAATGAACACATTCAACAGTTGGCACTTGAGAGTAAAGAAACTAAGGAGAGTAGACACAACTAGACAGATATGGTGTGGTATGTAGCCTTCCAGTGAACATGCAGTTGCAGTCTCTACAAAATTAGTTAATTACCTTGGAAGCAAATGTAGTCATTTCATTTGCAAATATATCTAATCATGATGTATTTAAAATCATCTGTATTGCTTTTTATCTACTTCTTACAAATCAAATTACTGAGAGCAAGAGGTTCAATTTTGAAATCATTCTGGAAATGTTTTCATTGCATGTACTTGGAGGCCAGGGAAATTAGAGACTTCATTTAATCCTATTAACAAGATACACAGGGAAAAGCGTAATTTTTTTCCTGTTTCAAAAGGAGCTCTTGTTTCTGAGAGTGGTACAGGATTAAGAAACAAATTAGACAATATCAGAAAGGAGATAAAGAGGGCAAGATACTCGTTTTGCTTTGCCAGTACAATTAGCCTTGCACTTCATCATTGGTTTTTCATTTTGGTTGCAATAGTTATCGTTTTTTGGTTGAGTACAGATGTGTAAGTTAGTATAATGGGCTGCCACATGACCCTACAACAGCAGTGATTTCAATGGAACTAGGCTGACGTAGGCCAGCTCACCTTACAATTGGAGCTGTGTGTTCTCAGAGGCTCTTTCCTGGGCTCACAGGTAGCTGCTTCTCTACAGACTCCAGGCTTCCCTTGACTGCCTTACTAAGCTTTTCATTCCCATCTCTGCCTCACTACTCCTCTCTGGTTTTATGGCCAATCCAGACTGAGAATTAATGTGCTCCATTCTGGTTTTCTCCTCCTCGTTTTCTTTCTGTGGAAGGTACAAGAGGCCACTTAATTGAGCGTACTGATAGAGGGGACTTGTGTACGTTAATGAACAAGAGAGTGCTGATCATAATGCAAGCACCAGTACAAAACCACTCCCATGGTTTTTAAACAAATCTGATCATTTGTATGTGTCCTTGAGTGAGTCCACATTGTAGCTGCCCACTCAGATAGGTATATATACATCTTGCAGTCCAGCTTGAGTAGGGGCCACACACAACTGTGCAGCCTCAGGAAGAGGCAGGGCTTCTGAGGGTCATGATTCTCTGTTTTCTCTGGTGAACCTCACTTCTCCCTCAGTGCCAGTTCAGTACTGGCCAGCATGTTGGTAGGGGCCGAGTTTAGTTTCCATCTTTTATAGACCACTTTGAAAAGTAGCAGTGTCCTTCCTGCTCTTCTACCACAAATAGGGTCTGGTGATGTGGGAGCCTGCACGTGGGAATAAGGGGCTTCCATATGTCCCCTTAATCCTATGTGTAACCAGGTTCATTGGTGAGCCCATACGACTTCACAGAAAAAAAATTCTACCCCATAGAATCCTCTGTCATGTTTCAAAAAATCTGACATAAATGATCTTATTTTTTATTATAATGTGTAGATTGAATGAGTCATTTTGATGTTAAATGTTTTATAGAGTTCTACCCGTTTTGTCCCTGTTCAATTCTAGTCAAGTTGTGTTTCCTTCACATAGTAGGAGGAAAGACTTGCCAACAGCTGCCACCCAGTGGTATTGAAGACACTCAAGTATGAGGGCAGCTGTGATACCATACAGTAGTGTTGGAGGTAACTGTTGGCAATCCTGCCTCCTTGATAGAGACCACTCAGTATGGCATGTGGAATGCGGGTGGGCTGTATGTTGCGTATTTGTAATTCAAGAAAAAAACAAACATAAAATAGCATGTTGGAATAAAGTTTATAGCAGGGTCTGTTTAAGAATTTCCAGCATCTGCACATCACTTTCTCTTTCAAGGCTATAAAAGTGTAATTGCCACAGTTACCAGTCAGCAAGTAAGCTCATTTATTCTGACGGTAAAGACATGACAGAAAAACATATTAAAAACAATTAAAAAGTACATGTATGCTAGTAAGCTTACCACCAATCACCCCAACTGTGACAAGGGCTCTGGTAGGAGTCAGTCCTTCAAATCCCACAAAGGGTTTTCCCTGTTGTTACAAGTTCATATCAACCTTATCTGAGAACTAGCGCACCTATTAATAGTTCAGTCTTTCCTTTGTACAACTTGGGCCTTTGAGCTTCAGATTCTAGGAGAAACAAATCAGACAGTGGACTCCTCCGGGCATCGCTTCAAAAATCTGGGCTTTTGCATAACTGGAGGCAGATGATTTGCATTCACCTCCCCCTTGAGAGGTTATTTACAATCCTAGCTCACAATAATCATTACAATTCATTTAGTACAATGGACCCCAAAGCTATTTAGACTAAATTCAATGAGGGCTCTCAAGGATAAAGCTGGAAATTGCTCCATCTGTCACAATGAGCTGTTTTCCCAGTACAGATTAAATAATCACTTTATTTTGCATTAGGATCACGCCTCGAAAGTTTGACATGGTTCATGCATCTGACCGACAGAAAGTTGGATCAATCACTCCCAATGCTGGAGATTTAACATTAAACAGAAGAGAGACAAGGACCTCTTTTACTTTTAGGAAAGTGAGGAGAAGCCCTTGCAATTGCAGTAAGTGTCTTGGATTGATCATTGAATCCTGGGCATTGCCCTGTTATCAGTCTTTTAAGCTCAATTATCTGAAATCATATATAATGAATGTTTGATATTTCTATGAACAGTCCTCACATTCAAACCTTGTAGTTTCCTTGTGTAGCCAATGAATGAAGCTTACTGGGCACTGTTTTCTTTTTAAAGTAATGTGATGCAGTATCAGTGAAGGGACACCTCCCCACGTACATCTCCTCAGCAGGAGAATTGTGTGTAACATAAAAACATAAGACCGGCCACACTTTGTCAGTCCAATGGCCCATCTAGCCCAGTATCCTTTCTTCTGACAGTGGCCAATGCCAGGTGCGTCAGAGGAAATGAACAGAACAGGCCATCATCAAGTGAGCCATACATAGCCTTTAGCCAGGCTGTCCCAAGGTGTGTGTGGAGCCTGGGACAATCATAGACTCTTAGGGCTGGAAGAGACCTCTCTTCCTCCACTCTGCTGCAAGGCCTGCTCCCACCCTGCCTCTTACTACCCACACTCTGCTTCTTCCCGTCCTTGCTCTGCACCCGTCTCGCTCCTACTTCATCCCTTCTGCAAAGTGCCCTCGCTGGAGCAACACAGCCTGGGAGAGTAGTGTGGGAGGGCCTAGATAAGGCTGCAAGGGTTGGGCTTGCCCCTATGCTCAATGGCAGGATGCAGAGCAATGCAGCTGGGAGCTAGGGAAGCAGAGAGGGCTTGGGCTGCGTCGCTTCACTTCTCATCACTGCTGGTGGGTATAGGAGCATCCCCTTCCCTACAGCCTGTGCTAGGTTCCCGCTAATCCCCCAGGCTGCGTCGCTCAGGGACGGGGGCTGGGAGGAAGGAGTGGAGCGGGGTAGGGCCAGCTTTGGGGAGTGTGGGGGCAGGCCCAACCCCTGCAGCTCCCCCCTTATTATTCTCCTGGGCCATGTTGCTTGGGGGAGGAGACTTGAGAGAATACCCAGCCTGCTCCTCTCTGCTGGCTCCCAGCTGTGTCATCTGCTTCCTGCTGCGGGTGAGTATGGAGGGAGGGGAACAGTTCCATCCCTTCCATCCTTGGCTCCTCCCCTGAGCGATGCAGCTGGAGCTGAGAGAGTAGAGCGGGCTGAGGCCAGGTTGCTCCCTTTCCTGCCACTGCCAGAGAGTGTGGGGACAGCCCAACCCCTGCTGCCAACGCCAGCCTCCTCACAGTATTATCTGGCAGAGTTCCACAGGTTGATTGTGCATTTTGTGGAAGAAAAACTTCCTGTTTGTTTTTACCTGTTGCCTATTAATTTAATTTGGTGACCCCTAGTTCTTGGCTTGAGTAGTAGTAAATAACATTTTCTTATTTAATTTATCTACAACAGTTATGATTTTATAGACTTCTATCATATCCTCCCTTATCTGAAAAGTCCCAGTCTTATTAATCTCTCCTCAGATGGAAGCTAATCCATATCTGTAATAATTTTTGTTGCCCTTTTCCTACCTTTTCCAGTTCTAGTATATCTTTTTTGAGATGGGATGACCAGATGCGTACATAGCATTCAAGGTGTGAGCATATCAGAGATTTATTTAGATATAATGTGATATTTTCTTATTATCTTTCCCCTTTGTCATGATTCTCAACATTCGGTTTGCTTTCTTGTCTGTGGCTGCACATTGAGTGGATGTTTCCAGAGAAATATCCACAATTACTTCAATGTCTCTCGCTTGAGTGGTAGCAAATTTAGACCCCATCACTTCATATATTTAGTAAGGATTATGTTTTCTAATGTTCATTACTTTGCATTTATTAATATTGAATTTCATCTGCCATTTTCTTTCCCAGTCCCAGTTTTGTGAGATCCCTTTGTAGCTCTTTCACAATCTTTAAATGTAACTATCGTGAGTAATTTTGTATCATCTGTAAATTTTGCCACATCACTGTTTACCCCTTTTACCAGATAATTTATGAATATGGTGAATTGGACTGGCCCCAGTACAGACCCATGAAGAACACCACTATTTACCTCCCTCCATTCTGAAAACTGGTTGAATCGTATCCTTTGTTTCCCAATCCTTTAACCAGTTACTGATCAATGAGAAGATCTTCCCTCTTGTCCCAGGACATTTTATTTTGCTTCAGAGTCTCTGGTAAAGCACCTTGACAAAAGGCTTTCTGAAAATCTAAGCACACTATGTCCATTGGATCATCCTTGTCCACATGCTTGTTGACCCCATCAAAGAATTGTATTAAATCAATGAGGCATGATTTTCCTTTTTTTTTTTTTTTTTTTAAAGTTGGCTCTACCCTAGCAAATTGTGTTCATCTATATGTCTGATAATTCATTCTTTATTATCGTTTCAGCCAATTTGCCTGACACTAAAGTTAGACTCACCTGCCTATACTTGTCAGAATTGTCTCTGGATCCTTTAAAAATTGGTGTCATGCTAGCTATCCTCCAGTCATCTGGTATAGAAGCTGATTTAAAATGATAGATTACATTCACAGTTAGGAGTTCTCCAATTTCATATTTGAGTTCTTTCAGAACTCTTGGGTGAACACCATCTGGTCTTGGTGACTTATTACTGTTTATCAGTTTGTTCCAAAACCTCCTCTAATGACACCTTTATCTGGGACAGTTCCTTTAAAAAAACATATGATTGCTCCTAATCAGCTTGACTCTTGTTAGATTCTATTTTTGGGCTGATCTGTCCAGATATGAAAAGTAAGATAAATGAATTCAGAAGAGCCAGATGGTAGGCTGCCAGATAAAGATACCAAGATGGGCTTCAAGCTGCTAGAAATCATCATACTTCTTTTCGAGTGAAATTAAGGCAAAATCCAAGAGCTGGGCCAATGGTGAAGATGTGATGGGTTCAATCACAGAGATACCCTTGAGACTGTCACTTGATGTGCTGAAATACCATAACGCCTCCCTATATGCCCTTTGGGTTACCCCATCACCCTGTCCTGCTAAGCCAGACCCTCCAGTCTCCTTCAGCAATGGCACAGAGTTGGAGTTACAGCCCACAGCAGAGTAGCAGAGACACTGAGATTAGATCAGCTCAGCTCTGGGAAGGCTCAGTCAAAAGGACTTGACACTGTACCCAGGTGCACAGCCCCAATGGGACCAGAACCCCAGATCAATCTATCTTACGCTGTATAAAGTTTTATGTAGAACAAGCTCATAAAATATTTGCTTTCTTTATCAATGAAAGAGAAATGTCCATAGCTGTTTCTCCCCGGGTAACACTTACTGATACTGGGTTTATTATAAACAAAAGTGATTTGATTAAGTATAAAAAGTAGAATTTAAGTGATTACAAGTGATATCAGATCAAAGTAAATTATTAAGCAAAGTAAAACAAAATATGCCAGCTAAGCTTAATACTCGAGAAAATTGTTACATGAAATTTCTTACCCTGATTGTAGTTGTAATCATCTTTTCTCACAAGCTGGGAAGCCTCCCAACTTGGGCCTGATCCTTCCCCATTTCAGTCTTAGATGTTTTCAGCAGTCATCTTGGGTGGTGAGAAGGGTTGTCCTTCTATTTTTGGCAATCTCTCCTATTATTTAGTTTCCCACCTTCATAGCCTTTTTCCCCAAGGCAGGAATCCTTTGTGTTCAGTTTAAGATTTTCACAATTTCAGTGGAAAAGTACAGCGTCCAAAATGGGTTCCAGCATCAGGTCACCTGGCCACATGTCTTGGCATGAGCAACTATAATCCAAGCTTATAGGAGGAACAAGACTATTCATAGATCATTGTCGTGAGAATTGGGCCATTAAGCTCCTTGAGGACTACTAATTGAGCATGTCTTGATTATTAAATAGGTTTATGCTTCATATTTCTAACTTCAAATACAAGAATAAAACAAGCACCCAAATGAAATATATAAAATTCAGCAGATTATAAACTTTTAAAATAAGTTACGTTAGAAGACTTTACCTGGTATTGCTCGGGTCCTTAAGTCAATTAATTTTTGCTTTTTGGAAAGTAAATGAAAATGTCCATGCTTCATTTAAATCATTGGTCTTGAGTAGGACTGGGGATGAAGGGTTCAGTATGCAGACTACACCAGGGAGAGAGGACTACTCCAGCCCTATCTCACCACAGCACCTTTGGACCAGGTGAGAAGCACCTGTCCATGGCCGCTGCAGCTCCAGCAGGCACAGCCAGTGGAGGGGTACATGTCCCCTGTCTGGGACAGAGCCAGGTTTGTCTGCCCCACGTGCTTCCAAGCCAGAGTTCAAGGAGTGGAAGTCCAATCCTAGTGAGATACATAGAAAGGAACATAAACACTGTCAAATCAAGTGTAAAAATATAAGAAAAAAAGGAAAAAAAGATTTTGAGGAACAGCTAGCCAAAAACTCAAAAAGAAATAGCAAAATGTTTTTTAAGTACATTAGAAGCAGGAAGCCTGCTAAAAAAACAGTTGGTCCCCTAGACGATTGAGATACAAAAGGAACAATCAAGGACGATAAAGCCATTGCGGAGAAACTGAATGATTTCTTTGCTTCAGTCTTTACAGCTGAGGACATTAGGGAGATTCCCAAATCTGCATCGTCCGTTGTGGATGATGAATCTGAGGAGCTGTACTGTATTGAAGTGTCATTAGAGGAGGTTTTGGAACAAATAGAAAAACTTAATGTTAACAAATCACCGGGACCGGATGGCATTCATCCAAGGGTTCTAAAAGAACTCAAATGGGAAATTGCTGAACAATTAGCTGTGGTTTATAACCTATCCTTTAAATCAGCTTCTGTACCTAATGACTGGAAGACAGTTAACGTGACACCAATATTTTAAAAGGGCTCTAGAGGGGATCCTGGCAATTACAGACTGGTAAGTCTAACGTCAATACCGGGCAAATTAGTCAAAACAGTAGTAAAGAATAAAATTGTCAGGCACGTAAAAGAACATAATTTGTTGGACAAAAGTCAACATGGTTTCTGTAAAGCGAAATCATGTCTTATTAATCTGTTAGAGATCTTTGAAGGGGTTAACAAACATGCAGACAAGGGGGATCCAGTAGATATAGTATACTTAGATTTTCAGAAAGCCTTTGAAAAGCTCCCTCACCAAAGGCTCTTGTGTAAATTACATGGCCATGGGATAAGAGGGAAGGTCCTTTCATGGATTGAGAACTGGTTAAAAGACAGGAAACAAAGGGTAGGAATAAATGGTAAATTTCCAGAATGGAGAGGGGTAACTAGTGGTGTCCCCCAATGGTCAGTCCTGGGACCAGTTCTGTTCAACTTATTCATAAATGATCTGGAGAAAGGGGTAAGCAGTGAAGTGGTAAAGTTTGCGGATGATACTAAACTGTTTAAGATAGTCAAGACAGAAGCAGACTGTGAGGGACTCCAAGAAGATCTCACCAAACTGAGTGATTGGGCAACAAAATGCACGTTGGAAAAAATAACCCAAACTATACGTACAGTATGATGGGGGCTAATTTGGCTATGAGAGATCTTGGAATTATCATGGATAGTTCTCTGAAAACTTCCACACAGTGTGCAGTGGCAGTCAAAAAGGCAAATAGGATGTTAGGAATTATTAAGAAAGGGATATAAAATAAGACACAGAATATCTTACTGCCCCTGTATAAACCTATGGTACGCCCACATCTTGAATACTGTGTTCAGATGTGGTCTCCTCGCCTCAAAAAAGATATTTTGGCCTTAGAAAAGTTCAGAAAAGGGCAACTAAAATGATTAGGGGTTTGGAACGGGTCCCATATGAAGAGAGGTTAAAGCGACTGGGACTTTTCAGTTTAGAAAAGAGGAGACTAAGGGGCCATACGATAGAGGCATATAAAATCATGAGTGGTGTAGAGAGGGTGAATAAAGAAAAGTTATTTATTAGTTCCCATGATAGAAGAACTAGAGGACACCAAATAAAGTTAATGGGTATCAGGTTTAAAACTAATAAAAGAAAGTTCTTCTTCACACAGCGTGTAGTCAACCTGTGGCCTTGCCAGAGGAGGCTGTGAAGGCTAGGACTATAACAGAGTTTAAAGAGAAGCTAGATAATTTCATAGAGGTTAGGTCCATAAAAAGCTATTAGCCAGGGGATACCTGCCACTACTTCATCTCCCTGGACCGCATCGTGGGGGGGCGGTGAGCCGGGACTGGAGGGCCTTGACCAGGCTGCGGAGGAGGAGCCGCCACGCCAGCAGGACCTCCGAGCAGTCCCAGGAGAGGACTCAGCAGGGTCGTCTGGGGAGGCCACACCATGTAAGTGCTGTCACTGTCCCCTTTCCGACGGAGGGAGAGGGGGACGACCAGGGACCCGCGCGCATGGCCCTTGCTTATCACGCAGCAACCTGTGCATGTGTGAGCACATGCCGTGCCACCCCTGGGCAGGTGGCTCCTACTGCCTGCCACACAGGGGCTGTCGTGGCCTGATAGCCACAAGTGTATGTGAAGAGACCTGACATGCTCCTGACCCTGGGGCGGGACACAGCAGGATGCCCTTCCTTCACAAGCCCCCTCTAACATTTTCCCTCCCCCCCCCACCTCGGCCACACTATACACAGCACAGGGGCCTGGGTGCGGTCTCGGGGCAGCTCCCACTCCTGGGATAGCAAAATGCTATTTCGAAATGCATTTTGTGTGTAGGCGCATTATTTCAAATTAACTATTTTGAAATAAGATGTTTTGAAATAACGCTGTAGTGTAGACATACCCTGAGTTCACAGATAACACTAAGCTTGGGGGAGTGGAGTAGATACACTAAAGGTAGGGATAGGATTCAAAATGACCTACACAAATTGGAGGATTGGGCCAAAAGAAACTTGATGAGGTTCCGAATAGACAAGTGCAGAGTCCTGCTCTTAGGACAGAAGAATCCCAAGCACTTTTATAGGCTGGAGCCTGACTGGCTAAACTGAAGTTCTGTAGAAAAGGATCTGGGGATTACAGTAGACAAGAGGCTGGATATGAATCAACAGTGTGCCCTTGTTGCCAAGAAGGCTCATGCTGTATTGGGCTGCATTAGTAGGAGCATTGCTAGCAGATCTGGGGAAGTGATTATTCTTCACTATTGGGCACTGGTGAGACCACATCTGGAGTAGTGTGTCCAGTTTTGGGGCCCCCACTACAGAAAGGATGCGGACAAATTGGAGATTCCAATGGAGGACAATGAAAATGATTACAGGACTGGGGCATGTGACTTCTGAGGAAAGGGTGAGGGAACTGAGCTTAATTAGTCGGCAGAAGAGAAGAACAAGGGGGGATTTGATAACAGCCTTCAAATACCTGAAGGGGGTTTCCAAAGAGGATAGAACCAGGCTATTCTTGGTGGTAGCAGATGACAGAACGCGGAACAATGGTCTCAGGTTGTTGTGTGGGAATTCTAAGTTGGATATTAGAGGAAAAACTATTTCACTAGGAGGGTGGTGAAGCACTGGAATGGGTTACTGAGAGTGGTAGTGGAATCACCATCCTTAGAGTTTTTTAAAGCCAAGCTTCACAAAACCCTGGCTGGGATGATATAGTTGAGGTTGGTCCTGCTTTGGACTGGATGACCTCCTGAGCTCTATTCCAACCCTTGTCTTCTTGATTCTCTTTATCTTTTTTTTTCTATTAAGTACATGTAATGAACAAGTTAAAAACTTCTTGTCTGGATTTCTTATTTCTACTCCTAGCTTACCCTTCGGTATGTGACAGTCAGCAAGGCCATCAAAGAGAGGAAGAACCCTCGTTCCATGACAGTGAAACAGAGGCCTCAAAGTTGGAACAAGAGTATGTACACAAGGTGTATGAAGAGATTGCCACACACTTCAGCAGCACCAGGCATAGTCCATGGCCCAAAATTGTTGAGTTTCTTAGTGCTTTACCAAAAGGATCTATAGTGGCTGATGTAGGTTGTGGGAATGGGAAATATCTCGGCATCAACAAGGACTTGTACATGGTAAGTCAACGATGTTGTTTGTCTTCTCTTTTTATTTGTTACTGTGATGCCTAGGCCCTCCTGTTGTGGACTGGGACCCCATTGTGCTAGGTGCTGTACGAACACAGAACTAAAAGATGTTCTCAGCCCAAAGAACAATTACTGGTTGTCCTAAGTTTGCACATTCCATTTGTCTTTTTTTCTTTTTTGGTTTACAAATCAAAATACGTCATGGTAAAAAATTGTAGTGAATTTACCACTACCATAAAAAATAATCAAACAGCAGAATTGTTAGAAAATAAGCCAGAGAAATGCATCTGTACAAAAATATCCAGTTCCTAGGTATGCTAGGAGATAGCAGTAGAATGCCTCTTGCTGATGTAACAGAGTGTGACATCAGACCTCTGTACTGAGTCATATCCACTACATCTCTCCATCTATGCACTTTGCTAGAGATAGAATCTAACACACTGGCAGAATTAGTATCACTAGATGCCACGCCTTGTATGAGTTTTACTATCCGTGGTATTTATTTCTAATGTACTGAAGAACTCGGGGCAGAAGCAAATACATGATCTCTCCCCGTAGAGCTTGTAGTCTAAAATCCTGTTTGCAGGTTTTGGACTCATGTTTCAGAATAAATAAGGAAAAGAGTACAAAATAAAAGGTCATCATTCAAACTGTTTCAGCCTGGCATGCAGAAGGGGGAAGCTGGAGGCAATTTTCTGCCTGAGGTGAACTTCCTGCAGCATGTTTCTCTTGTCTCCTCCTTTGTCTCCTCTGTCCATGTTTTATTGTTTATTGGCTTATTTAATGGGATCTTTGACATTTTGCATGTTGTTCAGTAGTCATTTAAAAGTCGAAACATATTGGACCAGATCCTCACTGGTTAAAATTGGTATAAAGCCATTGAATTCAATGGAGCTATATTGACTTATGCCAGCTAAAGAACTGGCCTACTTGGCCTCCTATGTGTCATTGCTTCTGTTCCCCTTTAATCTCCTTTCTGCTCAATAAATCTTGGTATAATATTTCTTCCTTGTTTCTGTTTCATACCATTTTTTGTGATGTATTATTTTTCCATAGCTCTTTTCCTCTTCCTTTGATCCTTCTCCTTTCACTGTTGTGGTTGTGTTCTTGAAGTTTGCCCCCTTCAATTATTCCTTCTTTCTCTCATCTTTCTTATCAATCTCATTCTCTTTTCCCTTCAACAAAGTAGATCTCCTGTATCCTATCACTCAACGGTATCTTGTACTCTCTGGCACTTCCCCACACACTCACTCCTCTCTTCCCTATACCACAGACAAACAAATATTAACCAAACGATTTTTTCCATGCAGAAGAAATGCAGACATTTCCAAGTTAAAAGATATCATGGCACTTTTTGGCAGATACAAGTTTCCCTTTTTTTTTTTTTTTTTTTTTAATTAAATATTCCTTCCCTCATGTTACAGAGTGCTGTCTTCTGATGTCCTTTACCCCAGAAATTTCTGCCTTTTGAGCAATGAATTGATTCATTTAATGTGTTTAGATTGCAAAACATTTTGGAATCCTTTAGGATTAAAACATCATTACAAATATTTTCATTAATAATAGTAGAAATCTGACTTGTTTATCTGTTTCAGGAGTTTGTCCTATTATTTATACTCGGCTATAAAATGTAAGCTATTATTTAAAGCCCTGCCAGTATTTGTAAAACATGAGTTTCCATTACTCATGTTATAAACCAAAAAGAACCAGCTGATTTATAAGCAGGCACATTTATGCCTGACTCCTCTAGCCTCAAAATAATTATTAGTCCATTGATATGTCAAGTACATTGCAATCTTTCATTCCTGACTGAGTGCTCTCCAGAAAAAAAAATCTGCACATCTAACTAGAGGGAAAAAGTTCTTCAAGTGCTGGTCCCTATGTGTATTCCAGCCGTGGATATGAATGCACATCATGCACTTGAGTCCTGAGGTGTATAGTAATCAGTGTCTGTTGGTTTGAACATGTGCAATTGCTCTCCTCGTGGCCTATCCCAAGAGTGAAAGGGGTAGTATGGACTGACACCTCTCCTTTCAGCTTCATCTTACTACTGCACAGACTGAGTTAGAATTGCCTGTGTTCACAGCTTCTTCCATCACTTTCTTTCTTCAATCTGCAGTTATATTTTCACTATTTTAGAATGTATAGTGTTCCTGAGTAATTGCTGCTCTGAGGGCAAGAAATGCAGATTGGAGGAAATAGTTTAAATTAGTTATAAGAGTTACATATTTTAAATTAACTCTAACCACTCCAAGTGTATTTGGAGATTTTGGGAAAAAGGGTGGCTGATGTCCAGGCTGGGTGGGCCATAACTGGGTTCTGGGAGGGAGGGGACTGGTGACTGGGCTGAGGGACCACAGCTGGACTCTGGGACAAAGGAGAAACAGTAACTAGGTTGTCATGGGGGTTTCTTTATCTCTCTACTCCAGGGGGAAATTTTTGTGTGTGTCTGTATTGTTACAGACATACTTTCTGACAGGTATTTTAAAATAAATTACCAAAATAATTGAAACTGGTGTGATTATCTAGTGTTGTTTTTGACAAAATTTGCAGAATTTTAAAATATTGTATGCAGAATTTTAATTGGTGTGCGTGCATGCGCAGAATTCCCGTAGGAGTTAAGGTACAAGGAGTCAAATCTTTCCTACATTTTTTCCTGTTGTCTGAGGGCGGTACTTGACCCAGCATTTTTCTTAGTAACTATGATCTGCCCTTACATGACACTACTTATTAGTTTCTTTTAAGAAGTCTCTTGGTATTCATAGTGCCTGTTTAGAATTCTCAGTCCAGAAGCTGTAGGACAAGAGGAAGGGACACAGTGCTGAAAAATTGAGTTATTTTATTACAGTAGAAATACTTTAGGTTGCATAGTAGCATTCATATATTTTGACCTGCAGATATTGGAAAGTAAAGAGAAGGAACTTAGAAAAGTAGTTTCTGCAGGAAGGCAGTATGCTGTAGAGGTTACGGTACATTTTTAGAAAGGGTACTTTAAATAGCAGGTTTAATAGCAGTTCAAAGTTAAGATACGTTTCATGGTGTTTTAATGTCTGTGCTCTGTCTGAAAATGTCCCCCAGCTGTCTGTGCTATTGTGTTTGCTTGACTTTCTTTAGACGATTACACAGAGTCTTGTCTAGTCAGGTATTATTGTGTGACAATGGAACTAGCATGAGTTCAGGCATACTCAACAAAACTAGCTATGCTGTAATGGGTGTATTATTCTATTACAATAGCAAACAACAATTGCATGGCAATCAGAAAATCAGGTGAAGGTTTCTGAGTGAGAGATTGAATCAGTGCCTCATTTAGTTAGGACAAAAACTGACAAAAGATTGTACATCTGATAAAATATGACATCCCAGTGTTTATTTGGCTCCCACTCATATTTCATTGTTGTAATATGTGCAAAGGAGACAGGAAAAATGATTTTTCACCAAAAAATTCCCTGGGTTTTTTTGCCTGTGTTTTGTTACATTTATGTCTTTATTTTTAGGTGCAACTCTGATATCTTTGTCCAGGGCTTTCTTCTGCTTCTTCTTCTGCTGCAGCAGCAGCTATCTTTCAGCCTAGGCCACTAGAGTGAATAAAGTTCAAAGCCCACTGAAGTCAGTGCAAAGACTCCTATTGAATTCTGTGGACTTTGGATCTGACTTCAGTTTCTAGCCTCTCAAAGCAGTGGTGGTCATGTGTGAATGCGCATGGGAAGAAACAGTATCCCCATAAAGCAAAGGCGGGGAACCTAATACCCAAGGGCCTAATGCAGCCCCCTGCTTGCCTGGATCTGGCCCCAAGGCTCAGGGCTCCCCCCCTCCTTCAGCATTGGGGAGCCTGTGCTGGCACTCCAGCCCCTCTGCTGCCCCACCATGGGGCTGGAGCACACCACATCTCCTATCCTGGGTCCCCCTAAGCTCTGGTGTGTGAAGGGAATGTGAGGAGTATCTTTCTCCTTCTCGGTCAGGAGCCACATCCATTGAGGCTTATTTTTAATTAATTAATTAATTTATTTTCTATTTCTCACTTGTGTGCAGCCCCCAACTGATTTTTCTGTCAGTGAGCAAACCCTGACCCAAAACAGGTTCCCCACCCCTGCTATAGAGCTGCAATACAAGCTGGAATGGCATTATAGCCTGGTATTTTCAGAGTTTCAGTTTTCAATTGGGATTGACACTAGGGATCTTAAATATTGTTTAATTTAATAATTGTGTAACTGCACCAAATCTTAGTGGTTACACGATTATTTGATTAATCCCCACCAGCCAGTGCACTCCTGGCCCCTGCCACCTCGCACTGCCACCTCTGATACAGAGGCAGCAGTGTGGGGGAGGGAGGAAGGAAGGTGGCTTTGCAAAGCCAGTGCTTGTGGAAAGATGGCTTTTAAGCCAGCTTCCCCTGAGCACCAGCTCCCACCTGCACCCTCAGCCCTGCTGCCTCTATGGGAGGCAGCAAGGGGGGGCAGGTGGCTCTACAGGATCCAATACACGCAGGGAGCCAGCTTGAAAGCTGGCTTCCTGCGTGTACCGGCTCCCTCCGCACCCTCTGCACTGCTGCCTCTCTATCAGAAGCAGAAGCATGGAGGGGCAGGTGGCTATGCGGGATCCGGTGCTCATGGGAAGCCGGCTTAAAAGTTGGCTCCCGCCTCCCCCTCTCCTTGCTGCCTGTGATAAGCCCAGGCTTATCAGCTAATCATTTCAACGAGTATATGTTAACATCCCTACTTCACAGAGGGATGGAAAATGCAAACAAAGAAGTGACTGTATGAAAGTGTATCAAGGAGACCGTGGCAAGAATATTAGTGAGAAATGTGGTCATAAATAATATGTAAAATGATGGGGTTTAGTGTAACAAATTTGAGATCTCAAGAATCTCAAAGTATATTACAAATTTTAATGATGTGCTTATTTTAAATATTAATACTTAGCACTTAAATACCTCTTTACCTTTTCTAAAGTGGGGTCCCTTTCTCCCCCATTCCCAGTTTAGGATCAGCCAG